TTGCTTTGCTTCTGCGTGTAGCCTCTGGTATTCGGGCTGTTCATGCCCGCATTGCCGTTTTTTCGCAACGGAACTTTATCATTCAAATATTAATTCCAGACGTAAGGCACATTGTTTATGTATAGTATATCGAGCGCTAGTGAAACCTTTTCTTTTTTGTCACGGTTCTGCTTCGCACTAGCCCACAATTTCCTTCGGACGTCGCGAATTCTTTGGGAAAAATCTTCACCAATGGAATAGCCCGTGTCCTTGAGTTTAAAGCCTCTTTTCAGTATTGCATATTTACTTCTTGAATCTAACAGTTTAAGAATGACAGGTCTCGTCGAGTCATGTCGTTGCTTGCCTAGTTGGTGTATACGCTCGATTTGTACACTCTCCATTTCAAGGATCTCCTGAAAAATACCTTTATTTACTGCAGTTTCAAGTGCGGTGTTAGTTTCATCTTCTTTTTCTGGAAGTCCATAAACGATCAAGTTGGAGCGTCTGCTATGGTTTTCCATGTCGTCTATTTTTGATTCAAGTACTTTAATAGGGTTTTCCATGCAGTTAATTTGCTCTTGAAACAATGCTACTCTTTGTTCGAGAGTGGAAATCGAATCTAATTTCCTTTCAATGTCTGGAAGACGCGTTTTCTTGATTTTTTTAATGTCTGATGCAATTTCCTTAAGGTGTTTAGCAATTTGCGCTGTGTCTGGGCCCGGAATTTCTTCTATGTCACCTCCAAGCAACAGCAATTTCCTCGCCGAGTAAGTGAGTACATTTAACATATCACACAGCCGAGGGCACGGCAGCATCAAAAGAAAACGGTTATCGGAACGAAAGCATTTACCGTAATGCCCTCTTACCTGCGCAATCAAGACAAGCGGGTTTTGAGTGAACCGCATCTTTTCGATGCCGCCGTGCCCTGTGGTCATAAAGTAAGCTGGCAGCCCTTTTATAGCCGGCCAGCACGGTGTCGCCGCCTGTGGTGGTGCTGCGCAGCGCTCCATGCGCGGTGACGTAGAGCGATGATTCAGTCGTTCCCACGGCGGCCAGTTGAGATCGTGAAGCCCTTCATTTCATTACAAGATGCAAATAACATTCCTTTTGCCGACACTGATTGTCCTCATGTCTTTAATTCATTCTTTTCATCCGTGTTTACTAGCGAGCATGCTCATCTTTCAGAAATCGTTGAACGCGATTACTCATTCATGTCACCTATACATATCACAATTGAAGGCATAGTTAAAATTATTGAAAATCTGAAGATGTCATCATCTTCTGGTATTGACGATATCAATTCAAAAATATTAAAGAACACTGTTTATGTGTCTGGCAATATCCTGTTTCACATTTTTCGGCAGTCGCTCGCTACAGGAATGTTGCCTTCTGACTGGAAGATAGCGAAGGTAGTGCCAGTTCATAAAAGTGGTAGTAAAAGTTCACCTGGAAATTATCGCCCCATTTCTTTGACGTGCATATGTTACAAGATGCTTGAGCATATTATAGTTTCTAACATTTATGCGCATCTAGAATCTTACAATTTCTCTTTCTCAAACCAGCACGGGTTCCGAAAGGGTCGTTCTTGCAAGACTCAACTCTTTGAGTTCACCACCGACCTACATTCTAACATGAACAGTAATCTACAGACAGATTGTTTATTTCTTGATTTTGCAAAGGCATTCGATCGTGTTGCTCATTGTCGCTTGATATTAAAACTTTCATCACTAAAACTTGATTCACTCACGCTAACATGGCTCAAAAACTTCCTAACTAACCGCCAACAATTCACCATCGCCAACAATCACTTTTCATCACTCTGTTACGTTTTCTCTGGTGTACCACAGGGCAGTGTTCTTGGTCCCTTACTTTCCCTCATCTACATTAACGACCTGCCTGACCACTTACCCTCATGTATGCGTATATTTGCAGATGACAGCATTATCTCGCGTCCCATTCGCAATAATAGCGATCATCTAACTCTTCAAAAAGACCTCGAGCATATAATTGAGTGGTGCAAAACATGGCAGATGACACTTAATGTTTCCAAATGCAAACTAATCACCTTTAGTCGCAAACGTGATAACTTTAATAGCCAATACATAATTGATAATAGCATTGTAGAATGCACTGATCATTACAAATACCTAGGCATAAACTTAACTTCTACACTTTCGTGGTCCACACATATCACTTCTATCTGTGCCAACACATCAAGATCATTAGGTTTTCTGTGCCGATATCTATACAGTGCTCCCTCCGATGTGCGCAAACTGGCTTATCTTGCTCTAATCCGTCCTCAACTGGAGTTCGCATCCTTCATTTGGTCACCATATCAACAATACCTCATAGATAAGTTAGAATGTATACAGAACAGAGCTAGTCGATTCATAGCGCGATTCAGAGCCACTGAAAATTCGCCGCGACATCTCACTTTTATCACTATTTCACAAACTCATCCACACCAGCATGATGCCATCTGTTCACCTTAATCTAGCACATCGAACTTCGAGCAGACTACATAACACCTTTAGCTTATCACGCATGTACTGCAATACAAACGCTTTCAACCAGTCGGCTCTTCCACGAGCTATTCGTTTGTGGAATGATTTGCCAGATGATCTTGCGTTAGAACAAGACCACACAAGTCACACAAGACCCCACAATCAAACTCTTAAAAAATACTTATGCACCAAAAACTGCTCTATGGCATCTTCGTAAGCATCAGTGTTTATAGTACTGTTGCCAATGTTTTTGCACTATTGCTAGGTTGTAGTTACTGTCATAATAGTTTTTTTTATTTCACCTTCACATACTGTAACTCACTTTTCTGGTATGTATTTTGCTTACATGTTCATAAGTTGAACTGCATTTTCTATTATATTCATTATTTGCCTATGTATGTGTAGATATTATGTATATATATTTTTCTAACATATTATCTGTACCGCCCCCCTTACAAAATACCCCTCGAGGGCTCTGTAAGGTACTGTAAATAAATAAATAAAATAAATAAAAACTTGTACTTTTTTTGTACGGTTGGCACCATGAACTGTAGTCGCTTTTGTGTTCTCAATGTGTTCCGTACTCTTAATGTGACTTTCAAGGGCAGACTTCACCATCGATGACATATTGAAGCTCTTCCCACATGGGAAAACTTTGCCTGATGCAAGCTTGATGTATCAGGTGCAATCCACTCCCTATAAGCAGCAATGCATAACCAAGACAGCTGGAATTCGAACTTGCCCGCCATCGTTCCACCATAAGCGACGCGACTGCCAATATCCACGCACACTTGCACAGTCTCCACAAAAAAGCCAGACTTAGCTCCATCATTGCTGATCTAACCACGCAAGCGCTATCACAACTACAGTGTACTAGAAGAGTACACTGTACTACAACACTGTAACATATGGCTAGAGAAGCAGATTGAATTAGATGGTCTGTTGGCTAGAGAGCACATAGCTGCCAGGCACACAAAAAGATCCACTAGATTCAAGGACTTTTAAATGTTCAAGGACTTTCAAGAACCTCAAACAAATTTAAGGGTTTTCAAGGCCTTGAAAATGCCATATCGAAATTCAAAGGTTTTCAATGGTTTCAAGGACGGCTACGAGCGCTGCTAAAAAGCAGGGGTATGCAAATGATTGAAATTTTGAATTTTTTTTTTAACAGTATTTGCTATTTGATTCAATTTGCACTGAAATTTTTACTATTTGAACTTCCTGAAGACGAATTCAGTCAAAGTCCAAATGAAAGAGACCCCTTCAGATTTTTTAAATAAGCATCACATTCTTGTAATGTGGAATATCTGCCTTTCAGACTTCGCTACGGTCAAATTTCTAGACTGAACAGATCTGATTTTTCAAATGCTTCACCTCATCACACTCCCATATATCAGCAAAGCTGCCTTTCACGCTCTGCTACGGTCACAAATGTATTGGCTCAAAAAAACGCTAGTTCTAACAAAGAGATAATAGATGTGGCAGAGGTGGCAGCTAAATCATCACTGCTTTAGACTTGAAATCGGGGCACAAAGCCTGAAAAGTAGGATGCGAAAATTTTTAGCATCGAAAATTTTAAAATGTTTTTGTATGTTGACATCGAAGCGGCAGATTTGCAACTGCTAACTCTAAAGGAGCACAACCTAGTCGGCCACATCATTTGGGTTTTCACAGAAGCAATTCAGTAGCATAAAATCATGTACTAATACATTCGGCCTTTGCATTGCCTTTTTCGATACAAGAACTGTGAAATACCACCCTGCCTGTGCTTCATAGACCTAACGAAAAGAAACGCTTTCATGTTGCCATATCTCATAAAAGTATGCTCAGTAATCCTCGCCAACTTATTTTTCTGCAACTTCGCTTCACACTATTAGAAAAATATTCGATTCGCACACACAATTCGATGTTAAAATTAACTTCGCAATGAAATATTTGCTACTCACACCAATCTAAAGAGTACATACAATGATAGAATTTGTCATTTTCGTTTTATTTTTTCTCTTCCTGGAGACAATAAGAAGCCACCCGTCGCATAAGAATCATGGTTGCATTGCAACTGAGTAATTGAGGTAACTCTGGGTGAGCTGACCACTTGAGTCAAGTAGCACAGTGAATATCTATTGTTCTTTTGTAGAAGCCTTATTTTTCAGGTTGTTACAGGTCCATAGTGAGAAAAAAAATATTTGCTCAACAACATTTGCTTCTTTCAAGTACACTCAAACTTCATTACAACAAAATACGCTATAAAGTTCTATTCGCAACACTATACCTACTGCAATATTATTTTTCATTTACTTCGTTATAATCCCTACTTCGCTATATCCGAGTTTGTTATATAGAAATTCGAGTGTAACTTTAAAGCTATAATAAAACTTAAGCCATAGCAACTATTATATGTCATAATTAACTGCATATTCACTGAAGCCCAGGTGTTATGTGAGACAGTGAGAAGCTGTTCATGGGGTGGGAGTGGCACCTGCCTCCTGGAGAAACCTGTTGCGTTGCAGCACAAACCTGCAAGTGCTGGCGGTATGCGTCCATCAGCTGGAGCAACACATCGTGCAGGCAGTCGGGGAAGACCTGCAGTAGTGACTTGAGGGCCAGTGCGGCTGTGCTACGGGTCTCCGCCTGCGGGTGCATCACATCCGACAGCAGACGCGCACGCAGCGTTGGCTCGGGCTCCAGTTTCAGCTCGCGCCACAACCTGCATCACAAACAAAACACGTGTGACACTGGCGAATTACAGATTTGCAGAGGCTACAACAGATCCTCATAAATAGTATCTGCCCCTACTGTGTTGCAAGTAGTTCCAGCCAACTGTGTGGAATTCATGGGAAGAACAAAAGATTGGTATAAGATCTTCTGCTGCACAACAGATCGACAATGCGCTGCTTCCACTCTCATTAAGACTGCTTATTTAGCAGAAAGGTATTTCAAATGCTAAACTAACAGCAAGAAGTCCTGTCAAGATACTTTACTACTACAGCGGATGTCCGATTTCGCAGATGCCCGAAATTCCAGACATGCCCGATTTCCCAAACTCGTCATGGCACTGCCACCTTCCCGATAGAGTCAATGTACCATAGAATCTCAATGATACAAATTCGAAGGGAGCATGCAAAATATTCGTATTATCCCGAATTCAAATGAACCAATACAAGTTAAAGCTTACATTGAAGATGAACAAGAACTTTATTGGGGTTAACTACTTCTTGCTGCGAAAATGCCCAAGGTGTTCTTTTGAACTTTCCTGCCTGCACCACTTTTAAATAATTAAGTGCAGCGGTTTCCTCACTCATGCTGCTAGCGCTTGAAGCGCGGTCACACTTGACACGAAAGGGAGGGAAAGCGGCCAACTTATTGAAAATTCACTTGCTTCGCTGCTTAAGCACTCGGAAAAACGTGCCGCGAAGTTGACGACAAAAAAAGAAATCAGTCACACGGGATAATTCAAGCGAAAATGCCAGAGCGGCTGCAAAACCCCGTCCGCACCCATCGAAAACGTTCACATTCGTTCTGCCTACCGCCGCCGCTTTCGCCGCTTGGGAATTCATTCCATTTTGCCCATTTCCTGAGCATTATAATTCGTACTGAGTTCTCGTTATGCATTTAAAGCATTGAAAAGAACAGTTTTCATCTGTACAAACATTGTTTCGGGAGATACTCCAGCAGAAACGACACGAGCAGATGCACCGGCAGTGGATAGCTGGTAGTGCAAAAACGAGACACAAAAGGGCATGCTGACTTGCTGCTGCTGCATTTTCTTCTACATCCAGTGTTCGCAGCGGTCGTAATTCACACCAGGCTCTCGATAAATGCGTCTGTCATAACCACGAGCTTTGTCCTCCTGTGCAGGTAGTTCACGATTGCGCCAACGCAAGCCACCGCTGACACCTTTGCTGTCATGTTGAATTTGGGGCTCGTTGTTTACATCATGTGGTTTGAGAGCTTGTGCAGCCGGTGTAGCCAAAGCCGCGAAGCAAAAAGGCAATCGTGGCGAAATAATTGGTCTTGGGCCGATTTCTTCTCATCAACCTTGCAGCGTGGTGTTCCGACCACTTAGGCGGCGAAGTGAGAGGAATTCTTGCGAGTATTGTCGTGTGAATGAGCACAGTGTGAATGGACCTTCCTCTCACAGACAAGCCGCATTGTGCCGTTCGCGTGCCGTGGTCAATCGCCTTTTCGTATCATCCACGGTGGCTGGGAAAACCGTTGGTATAACACCGAATGACGGAATACTTTATATAATGAAGTTCATTCAAAGCAACCTTAAAATTCATATCATTGCGAAATTTGCATCAACCGTAATCATATCATCAAGATTCTATAGTAATAAAAAGTCCGAAAATTCAGATGCTTATAGCTTCAGCATCCAATTTTCCGGACTTTTTACCTCTAACTACACACTCGAAGTCAATGCCACCATTTTGATTGTTTTAGGGGCGAAGCTCCTTTTAGGGGCGAAGCTCCTTAGGGCGTGGGCTGTGCGTCCCCTGTAGCCTGTATGTAGCCACCTCTAGTTTAGTTCTTGCAGTGTTCACTAGATGGCGGTACCGTCCCCTGTATGTAGCTACCTCTAGTTTAGTTCTTGCAGTGTTCACTAGATGGCGGTACCGTCTCCTGTATGTAGCCACCTCTCGTTTAGTTCTTGTATTGTTTACTAGATGGTGGTACTTGTAGCTGATGATGAAAAGATGCAAGATGTTATAAACTAGAAAGCGGTACTTGTAGTTGATGAAAGACGTGAGATCTTATAAAATAGGAATGATGTCACATATGACGCGTGTCATTGGTTGAAGGCAATCGTTCGATTTAGTGCGGCGACGTACGCTAGGGGGAGCGATGTAATAAAATCGAGTGGGCAAAATGTACAGAGGATTCATGGTTTACTAGGTTTACCTCCGGAGCTTCGCCCACTCATCATCATTCACTTCGTGAATATGGTGGAATTTTTTTGTACCCTTGAACCCATCGTACTTGCATCGCATGCACGCGTTGCGGCTTCCGTACCCTTTAAAACACAATTGACGCCATAACGTTTTATACAACAATACCTAGAGAGAAATCTGGCACTGCGATCGTGTATCCCCATGAGAATTATGGGAAATACAGGCTTCAGCCCATCTCGCCAAAACTCGTTTATATCGACTGCAAAATGACGATGAAACAAAGCTGGCGCACCATCACGCTCCTCTGATTCAGCTTCACAAGAAAACGAAGGTTGCGCAGACGGCAGATCACTTGGACAGACGCATCTGTCGTCGCAGCAGACGAAATGTCAAGTGCTTCTCACTCAATACTGTGCGAATATTCAAAGTGCAAATATTCGAAAGTTTTTAATATTTGTCGAATATTGCATTTGTAATACTAGTATTCAATTCAATAACTACATATCCGAAAATTTTGAATATTCAAACTTGAATATTCCTCGAATATTTGATGTTCACGAATATTCGTTGACATGTGTCACTGTGAAGAACTTACGATTTTGCACACTTGTGATAAGAGCCTCAGTAGATCATGCAGTAATTAGCACCACTTCGACGTGTGTGGGGTGATGTTTGGATAGAAATTCACAAGAGCGTGATGACGGCTACCGACCAATGTGGCGGCACGTAATTGCAACAAACCTACCAACCATAAACATTTCAATCTAAATCATGTTCTGTCTGCACAGCAGTACATGTGGCGTAGCGGTTCAATGCATGCCGTCCACTGCCGCGCCGTTGTGCGCAGGACCACAAGTGCGTATCCCTGGTGGAAACGAAGGCAACTCGCCGCTGCCGCATTCGCTCGACATAATAGCCTTCACACCTTTGCTGGGTCCTGTGCTGCGAGCACGAAAAAAAAAAGTCTGTTTCGACGCTAGGGCGAAGCAATGAATGCGACAGCAACAATTGAATAACTTTGAATGTAACACTGAGATCGGCTAGTAGATCGAAATGTGCAGCACGCTGCTCATAAATGACACACAAAAACAACACATACAGGACGAGAGCAAGCTAACAAAGTTTACAGCTCGACACTTAACACGTTGTTTAAACAAAAACTACGCACAAAACGTAATCACGGGTACAGATATGAGAGCAAACTAACGAGTGTCCCAGTTGTTACTTCGCTATGTTTGAAAAGCGCGCTCTTTTCGCAAACGGTGCCTGCCCAGCGAGCGAAGTGACCTTTGTGGCCCTGGCAACTAACGCAATCGTTCCGGTGAAAGGCCAAGGCACACAATTCTCTCTAAACACGCGAGCATAAGCACTTAACCCCCCCCCCCCCTCTTTAACGGGCCAAAGCACGCGCATCGACGAGCTGGGCGCCAAGAGCGGGCGTTTTTTTTTATTTGTGTGTTCATATATATAGATACGTACAAACACGGTGCATGATGGCGGCGACGGCGAAAACCAGCCGAGAATGTCCATATAAGTGCTATCGCAATAAATATATCTCTACGGGCAAATGCATGCATACATGTTACAGGGTGCGGCGATGATGGAGTGAGCTTAGTAAAGGATGCACTGCATGCAACTAGCTTGTGGCACGCTCAGCTTGACGTATGATGGCAAGGCATTTCATGTATGGCCACGCCAGTTTTCACTAATGGATCGCCGTACAAACGTACGTGCAGATGTCAAAGCTTGGCGAGCAATCCGTCAGTTGTGCCGCTACTACAGCATGTATACTCTTTTCATAGTTCCGGAATGATCTCATGGTAGTGGATATGGTCAAGCGAATAAGCTGTAGTGTTTTTCCATGCAATGGAAAACACATATAAGGCCATGAACTTTCGGTAATGTTACAATTGTGTCACCACATATACTTCTCCGTAGCTAACAGCACTGCACGGAAGGTGACAGACGGATTAATGCGTAGTTCCGCTGCATTCCTAACAGCGGCTTTAAAAATCCATCATACACACATCGCGCACGCGCGGCAACGTCTCCTGCAGTCAACCCTCTGTTACACCATTGCTACGATCTCACACTTTTGTTAACGTCAGTTTACTGTCATCGGCAGCCAGCGCACCGAAGGGGGTTACGATGCAGCAAAATAGTGCCCTCGCCGCCGGGAGTTGTGGCTCCATTAACAAAGAGGCATATTTAGGGTGCCTTTCTATCACACATCAGTAATCATATATCTAGCGCATCGACTCGCACTATCGCTGCGCGCCCCATACACCTAGGTCACCATCGTGCTGCTATCAGTGCAGCACAGCATTCTTGATCGGAAAATGGCGAGCGCGCAGTCCTTGAGAAAGGCAACCAAAGCAAGCGAGACAACGAGTATTGCTATGTAGTTTAAAAGTGCTCCAAGTACCCCCTAGTTCCCTTAGTGGCTTGACCCATTAGATTAGGGGAGAAAATGAATGAAAACTATAAAATCGGGGTCTTTCGAACCAAAATTGATAGTATGAGAACATGGATAAATTGTGACCACCTAGGCTGCTTTAATAATCGCTTAGACTTAAGTACACGGGTGTTAACTGTAACAGAATCAAACCAGTGGCCTCATGTTCACTAGTCATCGTGGCAGGTACGAAAGCTTTTCTTTTTTTCATTATAAGAAAAAAAGATACAAAAGGTTTGTTCAACACGTGGATTGAACTCAAGATATCACTGTCACAAGCTCAACTATTACAGCCTTACGCTATCTGGGAAGTACAGATGGTGACATTTTTTAGATTTTTGTGTGCAATAACTGACTATA